ATTATGCTGACGTCTTTTCACGTAGCTTGAAGAATCAACGACATGAATCATATGTGTTGGCTAATGGACAAGCTAAACTTTATCCTGCATGGTGGGAGGTCGATAAGGTTAGTATATTTGTTTAAATATTTTAAAGGTGTTCATAAATAAGTGCGCAATTTGAATTATTACATTTCGATGCAGGTGTTTATCCCTGTTTTGGACCGTACTCATTGGCTTCTCGTCGAGCTTCAGTAATAGTATATGACAGCATGATAAATTACATATCATTGTCTGATTTGAGAGATATGATTAAGGGATGGAGCTCTCATTTGGCTAAATTCTTGGATGCAATTGATTATTGGACTAAGTCTGGAAACAAGAAGCTAAAGAAGTTCAATGTTACAGTTATCAGAGACGAGACAACGCCACAACAAACGAAGGAAGCCAGAGGGGATTGTGGTCCTCTCGTATACATGTGCTTGGAGCGTTTGAGGATAGGAAGTACACATTTTCTACCTCCTACCGATAGAGATAGAGGTGCAGTAGGCTTGTGGTTTCGGCATTTTATGGCTAGAGCGATATATGCGAGACGCTGCCTACCTGCAATCCATAGCGTATACGCTTGAATCATCTTGGTTTAGATGAAGAGAAACTTTTATAACATGACCACACGGATAACCATATGTTTGTCATTTCATACAACTACACGTCTTTGCATTTAGATTGACAAGCCCATTTAAGTTATTATCCAGTACTTCAAACAAAGTGTTTGAACATGGTTCAACTCTCCATGACGTTGACTTCACAACACGTTTCGTTATCTTTTTTTCTGTCCATGGTGTAACACGATGTTCCAATGTTCCTGTAAATTTAAATAAATAATACTTAGTAAAATATATGATAAGTTACGAATTTAAAGAAATAATACATGCATGGTTTCTTTTCTTGTAGTACCACTGTTGAATAGAGGCTCGAAAAAAACTCCATTAACATAGTAATGGGTAATTTCCGGGAATGACGACTTAGAGCGTTGATTGATTCTGCACTATTAGACGTCATGAAACCATATCTTGCTCCAAGTTGATGTACTCTTGACCATCTTTCAAACCCGACATCTTCTAGTGTTTGAGCACACTGAGGCAAAACATGTCTTAAACAGTTTATATGCTTATTAAAATCCACTTCCCGATAAGCTTTTACAACCTTCCAGTATATTCATTTGTGATTTTTTATACCAGCAGACCTTGATTTTAGATTTCTATACAAATGAACACCACAAAGTCCATGAAAAGCATATGGAAAACACCTTCTAACAGCGTTGTCAATTGAGTTTGCCCTATCGGATATGATTGTCAGATTGCTAATAGGACCTATGAAATCCCTAAGATGCCCCATAAACCATGTCCATGAATCAAAGGTTTCAGATTTGCCAACCCCGTAAGCTATTGGCAGTATCCCATTGTTAGCATCCATGGCTACTGCTAATAAGTTTACTCCAAGGTATCGACCTTTTAAATGTGCTCCATCAACTATAATAACTGGGCGCATGCAATTAGTAAACGAACAAATCTACAAAATCATATACACAAGAAATATAATCATTTAAATGTGAAATGTATGTAACTAACAAAAATGAGTCAACAAAATTATATTGATTTACTAACCGCAGCACCAATGGCGATAAACAGCAACTCAAAGCGTCAATCTCTATCTGTTTTGATATGAGTTATCGACCCAGGATTTTTCAGCTTTAAATTGTGACAATAAGCCGGCAGTTGGGCAAACGATGCTTCTGGCGACCCCCTCAACAATTCCAAGGCATAACATTTGGCTCTCCAAGCTTGAGAATATGAGATACTAATCTTGAACCGAGCATTCATGTCAGTCATAATTTTATGTTCCCGATATACCCTACCATTCAAAAATATTAACTCAGCCAGAAAACCACCCAACACCTTTTTGTTTGCCTGTCTATGGTGAGGAAAAACTTGGGTTCTTGAACATGTATGTTTATCAATAAAAATCCTAACTTGAAACATTTCGCAATCTTTTATCCTCTTTACAATCATACGCCACATACAGTTTTTGTCAATCATACACCTTGTTTCGAAACGATCTTTGCTTGATTTGTTAACTTTTAGTTGATAGCCATCTTCCACACATTTCGTATACAAAGCTATCTTCAAGTCTTCCTTTGTATCAAAACAATCATATTTCTTGATATGAATAATTTTTGTGTAACAATCAACTGTTATCTTTACCAACTCTTCTTCCGGTATCTGAAGTAATTCTGGCATATTCCAGTTATACTCCCGTGGCATTTTCTTCGGGGACTTTTCTTTGGGGATTTCTTCTTCTTCTTTTTCTTCTTCAGTGTTATATGAATTACAGAATGGATGTTCAACATGTTCATTTATAGTCGTAACTTCCTCCTCATTATCATCAACAACATCTTCCTCGGCAACGGCTGTTTCATCATCAAAATTTGGGTATTGACCAATATCAAAATCATTACACGCAGGGTCTGTTTCTTCTTCTGAAAAATCATCAAAATCCGAGTATTGACCAAGATCAAAGTCCGGGTATTGAACAAGATCAAATTTCGAATACTGACTAGTACTCACAATTTTTTCTGTTGGCTCATCATCGTCTAACTGGTCAATACGAAAATCATAATTTGGTGCTGAAAGTTGATTGGGATTTGGATTAGGGAAATGTTGTGGGTTTTGAGATTGTGTTTGGTATTGAAAATGTGGTGAAACAATATTTGCTTGGTGATGAAATTGTGGTGGAACCATTAAATTTTGAGCACTATAAACTGGGGTTGAAAAACTTAGTTGATTACTACCCGCTACTGACACAACTTCACTACTTCTAGGTTCAAAAACATACAATGTAACATCATCACTTGAAACACTAATGTAAGCAATGAATCGTTCAACATCTTCATTGTCGGTTAACAAATAAACTTTACCATTTCTCTGATAAGATAGCCTAAATCCACTTAGGGGCTCTAAATTCAATTTATCTGCAACACGTAACATTAGAGTTTCATAAGTTAACTTTTTTAATGACAGTTTTAGTTGAAGATTCATGGGTAAAGACATATATTGTAAAACACCATGAACATTCTCCCATGACCCTCCAAAACACAAATCTATCCAAACATGATCAACATTAGATGATTTCATTATTGTAAATTAATTTACTAAACAAACGAGCTGCGAAACTAAAACCTATTGCCGAATGGGGAAAGATGTCGTTGGATATAGGAACGGATGTCACCGGAGAGAGTGATAGATGGAGATGGAATGAGTTGCGATTTAGGGATTTAGGTTATGAGTTGTTGCTGCTGCGTAGTTATATACCCAAAACATTTGTGTTGCGAAATTAAAACCTGTTGCGAAATCAGAAATCGAGTTGCGAATTTGAAATTCAGTATTGCGATAGTCAGAATCTCGTTGCGATTTACAGATTCGCATTGCGATTTACGTATTCGCATTGCGATTTACGTAATCGCATTGCGATTTTCCAAATTCGCGTTGCGATTTACGTATTCGCATTGCGAATTAGGAAAATCGCAACGCGAATTTGGGAAATCGCAATGCGATAGTCAGAATCGCGTTGCGAATCTGGAAACTGATTTGCGATACCGGAGATCGCGTTGCGAATTATCGATCGCATTGCGATTTAGTTGGTCATTTTGGCAAATCCAAAAAAAGTTGGTTAAAATCGTATATTATAAGGCATTTTTGGTCATTGAGGTTATTTTCTCTAATATTTCTGGTAAAAAAAATAATGTTTTAAGTAGCGCTTTTACCGGATATGCTATCAAACCTGGTAAAGCACCCAATAATAACATTTCCGATAGAAATAATAATATTTTTAATAAATTTTTTCCGAAAATATTAAAAAAATAATAAGGGGCCGTTTGGTTTAGGTAATCTTGGATTACAGGGGGAATAGAATGTCATTCTCTCGTTTGATTGGCAAACATTCCCAACCCTCGGCAATCCTTTATTCCCAACAGTGATATTTTTGGGTATATTACAGGGAATGTGATTATCACCTCCCCTTAGGTATTGTTATATTCCCAACGTTTTGGACTAAAATGCCCTTAAAAAAATTTTCTTTTAAAAAATATCATTCTTCTGTCATTGAATAAAAAAATTATATGAAGGTTAAATTTCAAATTTATTCTTAAACTATTTTAGATTTACAAAAAAATTCGATAATTATAATTTTATATGAAATTCAGGGGTTAAAATAAAATTTTACCCTTATATTAAACCTATTTATCTTTTCAAATTTGTAAAAAAAATTATATAAATTTTATGAATTTAAATTTTTTAAAGAAAATATATAAATTAATTATAGTAAAATTATAGTAGAATTTAACTTGTTAAAAACAAATATATAATAAGGACAATTTGGTAAAATATACATTCAATAATCTTTTATTTCTTTAACCAAACACTGTAATATTACATTCCTGCTAAACGAATCAAACACAAAATACAACATTCCCAGTAATCTTATTCTCGTCGGTAATCTTATTCCCACTGATAATTTTACATTCTGTGAACCAAACGCACCATAATATTTCTGATAATATATTTTTTTAATCATATATTAAACTTTCATACGTTCGAATTTCCCAAATGCGTGGGGACTGACTAATCCTGAAGATTTTAGATATTAAGAAATGGGAAGGCTGCATGCATATATGTGTTCGAGACTTCACTCGACTGCCAGTGTCTTTTATCTACGGGTGCTCTGAATTTGCTGATTTGGCATGATTGACACGTGGATTTGTACGTTGAGATTAAGCAAAGACTGAACAAAGGTCAAACCAAATGAAAGGGAGCCGTTGGTTTCTTTCCAGACTTTTAGAGGCTGCAGGGCAACAAGCCAACACGAATCATGGATGGATGTAACCCATGGTTATTAAAACCGGACCGGACCGGCCGGTTGGACCGGTTGAACCGTGAATCGGTTATCTGTCCGGTCCGGTCAACATGCAAAATCGGATGTGCAAAGAACCGGCTGTGAACCGGCGGTTCTACCGGTTCAAGCGGTTCTGTGTTTTTTTTTAATTAAACAAAACGTCGCCGTTTTATGATTTTTTTTCAACCCATATTTATTTTCTGATTTTGCAGGGTTAAGGCATTTTTAGTTTTTCTTTTTCTTTCACGAACGTTTAAGCAGTAAACCCTATCCCTTTTCAGCTTTTCCACTTTGGATTCCTTCATCACCACTCCCTCACCGGCGTTTCATTGAGTTCCAGTTCGTTATTCTCGTAAGATGGTAATGTTTAAGCTTCTCATTTCTTTGTATTTTTAATTCATCTTTTAATTGAATTTAAATCTTTGAGTTTGTAGTTTGATTTTTATGGCCCGATTTTATATATATGGAATTTGATGAACTGTAGCCGATCTTGATTCTAGTGTGATTTGCAGCTTGATTCTGCTGGATTTGGTTTTTAATATAGTACGTTTTGATATTCATTCTTTGGTAGAAATCCAACTTGATCTTTATGTTCTTTCTGCTTCGAAAACTGGTGCAAAATTTGTGATACTGTTAAAAGCTGCGATGCTTCTTTGCTTTCTGCAAGAGAAAATCGAAATGGTCTGCCCGCGCCTGTGCTCCATTTTTTCTATAGTGCAGCTCCATCTGATTCTTGTTCTGGTTTTGCTTGAACCATGTTTTTTGACCTATTGGTTTTGAAACATAATATTAAAGGAACCTTAGAACTAATGCCTTTGTTAGCGTACTGTTTTAGCCTCTGTTCAATGTGGAACTTATAAAACTTTCAATTTTATGTCGAGTTTTGTGGAAATGGAACCGTCTCTGCTCACTTTTTACTTCAAAAAAAAAAGAAATTTGTGATATTGTTCGTTCAATGTATGTAACAAGCGAAATCTCACTAAAATTGCAGGGATAGAACTACTTATTGGTACTGAACGGTTCATGAATCCGTAAAATGTTATCATTGCATGTATTTGCTACTGTCAAGTAAGCCACTGAAGGGAAAAATAAAAATTTCCGGCCCCAATCCAATATAGGAGGATTTATCTTTACATTAGGCTAAGATAAACTGTCAAAAGAACCTAATTTTGTCATCTTTTTGTTATTTTTCATCCTAATACTTGTACTCTTCCGACTTAGTAAAGGTTGTCTACATGAAGAAATATAATTTTGATTAGCACCCTCGGTATGAATTGACAAAAACTCATGGGTACTGTCGCTTGGACCTGGCGAAGCAGCTTCAATATGTTTTGTTTTTTTACCTAGATGGGTGATACTGTTCTATCCCTGCTATTTGTGCTTGATTGAGTTCCTGCATTCTATCTATAGTGCTTCTCCACGACTCTAACAGTGGGTATTGAAATTGGTGCTAGTGAGATTGTTCCTCTATGACAAATTTTGTTGCTTGTTATATTTATAATTGCATATGAATTTCTCAATTATTCAATTATTTATTATTAATCACTAATCAGTTTATGCTTATAACATGTAGGAATTACCAAGTGTGAATGCTCTACAAGATAATGCTTCTCAAGATAGTAATAATATTCCATTTGAGAAACAATCCACAGAATCCTCAAGTACAGATCGTGGGAAAAGTGATCCTGCGTGGGCTCACATTTCGTTTAAAAAAGAGGGAAAAAGTTGTGTATACACTTTCCTTTATTGTAGTAAGACTTATAAAGGAGGGGGCATAAATAGAATGAAGCAACATCTTGCGGGGGTTCCAGGTAATATAATTTCTTGCAAAAATATTCCTCATGATGTTCGTAACCAAATGCTTAAGTTATTGGTTGGAATCAAAGAAAAAAGTAAGAGTGGTGATGGTAACCTATATGAAGCATATGGTGATCAAAATATTGAAGATGAAGCACAAGAAGTTCAACCTAGCTCAAATATGGATATGAAGAGTAAGATGCAACCCACATTGAAAAGAAAAGCTAATGTTGAAATTAGTAATTATTTTGCTCCAAGGACTACTCCAGGATCGCAACCAAGTTTGAAAAGTGTATTATCAAGCACGCAAGCAATTCACAAAGCTAAGATGGCAATTGCTCATTGGTTTTATGATGCCTGCATTCCATTTCATGCAACACTATCACCATACTTTCAACCTGCTTTAGATGCAATCAATGCTATTGGTCCCGGTTTTAAAGGCCCATCTTATCATGAATTAAGGGTTAACTTGTTGGGAGATTGCAAGAGAGAGTGTTGCTTACTTGTAGAAGGTTATCGAGCAAATTGGGCTAAGAGTGGATGTACAATTATGGCAGATGGATGGACTGATCAACGACAAAGAACTTTGATCAACTTTCTAGTTTATTGTCCTACAGGTATCATTTATGTTAAATTTTAATAGTCTTTAGTATAGTTATTACTTATAAGTTCACTATTTTTTTAGGTTGTTGTTAACTGTCATATGAAGAATACTTGATATATGTTTGATAAACTTTTTAATTTATTATTCTATAGGTGTAGTATTTGTGAAATCTGTTGATGCATCAGATGTCATAAAAGATGCTAAGACATTATGCGGCTTGTTTTCTGAAGTGGTTGAATGGGTTGGAGCTGAACATATTGTTCATATAGTGACTGATAATGCAGCTAATTATGTAGCTGCTGGTAAATTGATACAAGAGAAATATGATACCATTTTTTGGTCTCCTTGCGCCGCTCATTGTTTGAATCTCCTTTTAAAGGACTTTGCTAGTATGCCTCATGTTGCAGACCTTGCCACAAAGTCTTCCAAGATTACAGTATTTGTCTATAATCACATGGTATTCTTATCTTGGATGAGAAAAAGAGAAGGTTGGAAAGAAATTGTACATCCAGGAGTGACTCGTTTTGCTACTACTTTTATTACATTGAAAAGTATTTTTGATCACAAACATGATTTGCAAGCTTTAGTTGTAGACAAGCATTTCACTATCCATAAATTATCAAAGACTACAACAGGAAAAATTGTTAGTGATATTGTTTTGGATCAAAAGTTTTGGAATGATTATTTGTCGATAGCGAAACTTGTGGCTCCTATCATTCGATTACTAAGAATTGTAGATGGGGATGAAAAGCCTTCTCTTGGTTATGTTTATGAAGGCATGCAAAGGGCAAAAAATGCTATAAAGAAGATGTTTAGAAATAGGAGAGCTTTGTATAAGCCTTACACATATATTATTAAGGCTCGATGGGATAAACATTTAAAACTCAATCTTCATGCAGCAGCTTACTTTTTAAATCCTGCATTCTTCTATGATGAGAAATTTTGTAGCAAGAACAGAGTTATGAGTGCAACCATTTCTTTACTTGAAAAAAGAGCTTTTTGTAATGACTTAACTAAAGGCATTAGTGAGATGAATATGTACCGGGAACGACAAGGAAGTTTTGGTCGAGAAAGTGCTCTTATCGTAACAAAGACAACTCGACCCGGTAAATATTACTTTATTTTTTTAGTTTATAATTTATATTTTACGCTTAAATAGTTAAGTATAACTTGTGTTCTATACTTATATTTTTTTATCATTAAATTTATTTATTGTAGATCAATGGTGGGCGTTGTTTGGGGGTAGTGCTCCAATTTTGCAAAAGTTGGCAATCCGTCTTCTTAGTCAAACTTCTTCATCTTCTGGATGTGAGAGAAATTGGAGTGTCTTTGAACGCATCCATACAAAGAGAAGAAATAGACTAGAACATCAAAGACTAAATGATCTAGTTTATGTTACTTATAACTTGCGTTTAAAGAATAGGTATAATGTCAAAATATTATTTCATTTCCTTATCCTTTTAAGCATAATCAATTAATCATTAATCAACTTCTTTCTTGATATTGTGATGTTTAATTTTAGGTTGCTCAAGAAGCCATGTTATGATCCTATTGATTATGAATCTATTGATCATGTTGATTTTTGGGTAACTGAAGAACAAACACCTCCTGAGCTTGATATTGATGAGATTGATAATTTTCTTTATCATGAGAATGCAATTCCAGTTGGCCAATCATCAAAAAATAATGAAGGTTAATCTTTGCTTGTTTATTTTAGTTATATAATTATATTTATTATTTAATATGTTTTACACTTTTACTTTTAATTGTTAAGTATTGTTTGGGAATTTAAATTTAAATTTAAATTTGTATTTGTTTATCATATTGCTAGGTGATGAAGATCTTGATGTTGTGGACTTTCAAGTTCAAAGTGGTGATGGCGGTGGTAGTTCAACTAATGAAGAAGCTTTTCCCAATATTTTGGAATTTGAGGGAATCAATTTCAATGAATATTATGATGATTGATACTTGTATCAATTATGTACTTTTTATTTATTTGTTTGTTGATGAATTTCATTAGGTATTAACCTTAAATATTATGTTGTAGTTTATTTGAATCATTTTGTTTCACTTGATATAATGGTATTTAACTTATATATGTTATGACTTGTAATATTTTTATACATTTTAATATTGTGAACTTAAAAAGAATGTTATATATATATATTAATATTGCTTTGAATATTATGTAAAATTTTAAAAAAAATATTATTTTATATATACCGGTTCAACCGCGGTTGAACCCGATTGAACCAATGAACCAGTGAACCAGTACCTTCACCGGTTCAAGGTCCGATCCGGTTTTAAAAACATTGATGTCACCCAAAACATCATTTGCTTCTATTTGTTTCTTTATTTCCAAAAAAAATCTATAAAACGTTATTAATTATTGAACGTTTGATCAATTATTTATATAATATATATTTATCAAGTCCAAAAAATAAATATTAATATTTTTATATTTAACTAATAAATAAACGAACATAAATATAAATATATTTGAACTATTTATGTTCATAAATAAGTTTATGTAAAAGCTCATTTATTTATTAATGATATATTTTTTAAAAAATATTAAAATAAAATAACTTTAGTTTTATATTTGAATTTCAACACATTAAACTAGGTGTGTATACTTACATTTATATAAGTATGTGTTTTATTTTAGGATATTAAAAGAATAGGAGATGTAAGTACTTATATTGGTGCAAATATGCATATATAGATTAATGCATGGAAACTCGAATGTATAAATAAAGAAATAATATATCCCTATTATATTTGTATTTCAACCTATTAATCTAGGTGTACATCTCTCACTAGAAATGAATATGTTCGTGAACGTTAAATAAATATGTTCATAAACACTAAATGAATTAAATCCAAACACATCAAATAATAAACCAATTGATTTCGAATATATTATTAAAAAATTACGAACACGAATCAGACGTAGAAATGGTTATAAAATAAACACAAATACAACCTTGATCATTTGAGTATGGTTCATTTACACCCCTACCTATGACAAATAAATAAATAAATAAATCGTATCCTAATGACCTTGCTCACCGCAATGTTGGTAAGTTCATGAGCTTGGTAAAGTTGAGATCTAAAATAATTACTCTAATAAAATAATTACTTGAATAATGGTCAATATTTACTGCATAAATTGAAAAAAATTAAAATGTTGAGATTTAAAATATTTAATATTGTACTATTAAAATATGAAATGTGATTTATTTTTCTTGTAAATATAAACGATAATATTTTAAACCTATTTTTGGAATATTTATATTCCATAAAAAATAATTATCCAAACAAATTTATAAAGATTATAGTGAAGAAATTATATTAAAAATATTTCTCTTTTTTCTTTAAATTGAAAAAAAAAACAGTTATTGGATTTGGATCTCTAAAGTGTTTGACCCATAAAATATGATTTTGGGTTCGACTATACAAACAATAAACTTTTCTCCTCATTTTCTTAACTTTTGATTTCTTAGCCCAAAATCCAACCCTAAAAAATAAATAATCCAAAACCCTAATCAGTATGCATACATTTTTCCAAATTGTGTTATATTCTTGCTTTATTCTTCTGCTTAGCGTTCCCGCATAAGCAAATTACCTTAGGCAGCAGGAGCGGCAACGAGATCAGCCGCCATGGTTCATTTTTCTTAAATTTGTTTTCCCGGTGTCATGGCCTTGGATGAGAAAATCGGAATTAAGGATGAGCAATTAGGGATTGGACATAGAGAAATTGGGAAATGGGAAAACGAATTAGGGATTTTGAATTATACAAAAGGGAAAGTGAAGGGACGGGAATTACCTGATATGGGCTTTGGACAGATTACAGGGCAAATTGAGACAACAAAACAATTGGGCTTAGAAATTCCACGGGCAGAAGCTGGACACATGAAACGATTATGGTTTGTTAGAAAGAATCTACAGCTGTCAATAAATAATTGAATGAATCTAAGCAATATATAGAGTTGTAATTGGCAAAATGAGATTTTATGAATGAAAATACTGAGAACTTCTTTCTGTAACCTACATTTCTTCTTTGTTTCTTCAATCATTTCTCGCCATTTCAGGTTAAAACCTGACAATTGGTAATCAGAGCTAGATTATTGATCCCAAAAATTTTTTTTAAGCTGGGTAAGACAAAGAAAATGCAGAAGACTGGAACCACTGAACATCCTAATAGACAGTGGAAGCACTCATAGTTCCATAACTGGGCAGTGGTCTAAAGAATGAGTAGAAGTGGAGTAGACTCATCCCTTAACCATTACAATTGCTAATGGAGAAAAATTATACAGTTCAGCTATGGGTAAAAATTTAAGGTGGGGAATGCAAGGTTCTCAATTTGAACATGATTTCAGAGTTTTAGCTCTGGAAGGGATTGATATGGTGTTAGGGGTGGATTGGTTGAGAAAGTATAGTCCACTATTGATGGATTTTAATCATATGACTCTGAGCTTTCAGAAAGATGGGAAAAATGTTATCTTAAAAGGATGGCATAATTCCTCTAATGTTATATTGATATCAAACAGTAAACTACAGAAATTGATGGAAAAAAGTAATGATCTAACAAGAGAAATTTTTATGTTGAGTGGAGAGGATAATCCTAATGTGGTACCTGCTGAGTTACAAGATTTATTGGAGGAATATTCAGTTGTTTTTGAAGAGCCAAAAAGGATGCCACCTCCAAGAGAACATGACCACTCAATTATCTTAAAAGATGGTACAAAGGCAGTGAACATCAGACCCTACAGGATGCCTTACCATCAGAAGTCAGAGGTTGAAAAGCAAGTTAAAGAAATGTTATATTCTTCTATAATTCAGACAAGTAAAAGCCCCTTTGCCTCACCTTGTTTGTTGGCTAAGAAGAAAGATTGAAGTTGGAGGATGTGTATAGATTATAGACAACTAAATGCTCTGACTATAAAGAATAAGTTTCCAATTTCTGTGGTGGAAGACTTGTTAGATGAGTTGAGGGGAGCATCATACTTCTCTAAACTGGATTTAAGGTCAGGGTATTGGCAAATCAGAATCAACCCTGAGGATATTCCAAAAAAAGCCTTTAAAACTCACCATGGCCATTTTGAGTTCAAGGTTATGCCTTTTGGGCTTACTAACGCCCAACAACTTTTCAGGCATTAATGAACAGAGTATTTGAGCCTTATCTAAGGAAATTTGTTTTGGTATTCTTTGATGACATACTCATTTACAGCTTTGATTTGGAAAATCATATTAAGCATCTCAGGATTGTTCTGGAAGTTTTGAAGCAGAATCAGTTATTTGCCAAAAAGACTAAATGTTTTTTTGGTCAAAATGAAGTGGAATACCTGGGTTATATCATATCTAAACATGGGGTAGCTATTGACCCAGCAAAGATCCAAGCAATGAAGCAATGGAAATTACCAAAAACCTTGAAGTCCCTAAGAGGCTTCATTGGCTTGACAGGATACTATAGAAGGTTTATTAAGGGTTATGGAGAAATTGCTAAGCCTTTAACTACTATGCTTAAAAGGATCAATTTCAGTAGACAGGAGAAAACAGATTTGTCTTTGAACTTCTTAAGACTACAACGTGCCATGCTCCTGTTCTAGCACCGCCTGACTTTACTAAAAGTTTCTGTTTGGAGACAAATGCAAGTTCTAAAGGAATTAGAGCAGTTTTATCTCAAGAAGGTAGACCAATGGCTTATCTTAGCAAGGCATTAGGACCTAAACAGTTGGATTTATCCATATATAAAAAAGAGTACTTGGCTATCCTTATGGCCATTTCCAAATGGAGACACTACTTAGAAGGGGAGACTTTCATTATCAAGACAGAACATGAGGCTCTAAAGTATTTGTTGGAGTAGAAGTTGACTACTTCTATACAAAAAAAAAGGGCTCACCAAGTTATTGGGACTGAATTATGTTATTCAGTACATAAAAGGTAGACACAATTTGGCAGCAGATGCTCTATCTAGAAGAAATGAGGATGAGGTGAAATTACAACAAATGACAGCTATTGTTGTTATTCCAACATGGGTTCAAGAGGTTGAACAGAGTTACCAGAATGATTCATTGGCTGCATAATGATTACTAAACTAGTTGTCTCAACTCAAGATGTAACAGAATGATCCTATTTAAATAGTGCCCTAAGGAATAAGGGCAAAGTTTATATTGGACAAACAGGTTCTTTAAGATAGCAAATTATAGAGGTTCTACATGACTCACCTCAAGGTGGCCATTCAGGTATACAAGCTACATATCATAGGGTGAAATCTTATTTTTATTGGAAAGAGATGAAAATGATGGTCAAAGAATTTGTGCAACAGTGTGACATTTGCCAAATGATTAAAGATGAACATGTGTTGAAACCAGGACTACTTCAACCACTTCCAATTCCTAAATATGCTTGGGAATTCATTACTATGGATTTCATTGAAGGACTTCCAACTTCTATCAGGTACAATTGCATCTTGGTTATCATTGACAAGTTTACCAAATATGCACATTTCCTACCCTTGGTACATCCCTTCACTGCAGCAGATGTAACTAAAGTCTACTTAGATAAAGTATATAAATTACATGGACAACCCAGAATAGCCCTATCTGATAGAGACAAGATTTTTACCAGTCTTTTCTGGATAGAACTACTTAAGTTACTTGGAACTAATACTTTATTCACTACAGCCTACCATCCAGAAACAGATGGTCAGACAGAAAGATTGAATCAATGTTTGGAACAATATTTAAGAGGAATGTGTTTTATGAAACCTACAAATTGGAGTAAATAGTTGTCCCAAGCAGAATGGTGGTATAACACCAGCTTCCACACTGCTTTGGGAACAACTCCATTCACAGCTCTCTATGGCTACATACCTCCTACTATGACATGGCAAACAGAATCAAAAGTAGCAGATGTACAACAACTGCTACAGGAAAGAGACAATATGAACATAATTTTATAGGAGCAACTTGAAAAGGCACAACAACGCATGAATCATTATGCAGATAAAAAGAGAAGTGACAGAGAACTTTAGGTAGGGGATGAAGTTTACCTTAAATTGCAACCTTATCGACATACATCAGTAGCTTTGAGGAAGAACCTAAAGTTGTCAGCCAGGTACTATGGACCCTATAAAGTCACAGAGAAAATATGATCAGTGGCTTACAAATTACAGTTACCTGAAAATTCAAAAATTCATCATGTTTTCCACATCAGTTTATTAAAAAAGAAGATTGGAGATAAAATAATAACCTCTCGAAATCCACCGGAGGTCAATGCAGATGGGCAGTTCCGTGTTTACCCCTCACTGGTATTAGACAAACGAATGATGAAAAGAGATAAAAAGCAGTCACACAATTATTGATTCAATGGGTGAATTTGGGACTAGAGAATGCTACCTGGGAAGATTTTTCTGTACTGAAATCGTAGTTTCATGGTTTCGATCCTTGGGGACAAGCATCGACTGCAGAAGGGGGTATTGTCATGGCCATGGATGAGAAAATGAGAATTAAGGATGAGCAATTAGGGATTGGAGATAGAGAAACTGGGAAATGGGAAAACGAATTAGGGATTTTGAATTATACAAAAAGGGAAAGTGAAGGAATGGGAATTACCTGATATGGGCTTTGGACAGATTACGGGGCAAATTGAGACAACAAAACAAACTGGCTAAGAAATTCCACGGGCAGAAGTTGGACACATGAAACGACTATGGTTTGTTAGAAAGAATCTATAGGTGTCAATAAATAATTGAATCTAAGCAATATATAGAGTTGTAATTGGCAAAAATGAGATTTTATGAATGAAAATACTGAGAACTTCTTTATGTAACCTATATTTCTTCTCTGTTTCTTCAATCCTTTCTCGCCATTTCAGGTTAAAACCTGACACCCGGTTTATATTTTGAAGTCTCTTCTTTGTTTTATGAGATTATGTAACACTGAACTCGATTTTGTTTTGAACCCATGTTTTTTTCAGGTGAAGTTTTCGAAGGAGCTCGATAATTCCACCAAGTGTAAAGTCCCGTTTTGTCATCTTTGATCTTTTCACTTTCTTTTTTTATGAAGCCCAAATTCGTTGTGTGGAGACCAATGACGTTTGGTTTTTAATTTTTGCAGCCTGTAAGGCAAGGGGCTCTGATCTCAGGGTTCATTTCAAGGATTATCATCATTTCTTGATATAATTTGGCTTAAGTATTGATTCAAAGTTCTGGGTTTTTTTTAATATGCCCAACAATAATCATTTGACAGTAATAAATGATTGTTAAATTATATTTAGATTAGCATGGTAGAGTAGTTTTCTTCAAAGTATGTATACTTGTATTAGTTGTCATATTTGTTAATTAAAGGCTGTTGTGGAACTTCTCTGTTTATTTCATTGCTTGAGAGAGATTTGTTATGTGATTTTCGTAAACTTTTATGATGCATTGTTTACGGTTATAATTTTTTTTTGGCTGAGTATTTGGATTATAAACATGATGAAGAATGCAGGGCTTTTTTGCCTTTTTTTTAACTAGGCTCTCGTAAACTTCAGGAAAATTACTTGTGCATTGTTCTTTGGTGAACCTGTGGATTTTAATGATGCTTGCTACATTTTGTAATCCTCTATAAGGAATTAAGTTTTGGGTTGATATGAGTTCAATTGTTTATTGAGGTGTTCTGATGTTGTTTGATCCTCTTTTTGGATGAGATTTTGGGTTTATAAACATGATGTAAAATAGTAGGCTTTGTTGTCTTTTGTGAACTAGGTTCTCGTAAACTTCAGGAAAATTACTTGTGCATTGTTCTTGGGTGAACCTCTGGCTTTATTGGTGCCTGAAGGTTCAGTAAATGATGTTAATTTTGTAATCCTCTATAAGGAATTAAGTTTTGGGATTGATGTATGAGTTCAATTGTTTCTTGAGGCGTTTTGATGTTGTTTGATCCTCTTTTTGGCTGAGATTTTAGGTTTTTAAACCTGATGTAAAAAAGCAGGCTTTGTTTCCTTTTGTGAACTAGGTTCTCGTAAACTTTAGGAAAATTACTTGTGCATTGTTCTTGGGTGAACCTCTGGATTTAATTGGTTCCTGAAGGTTCAGTAAATGATGCTAGATTTTGTATTCCTCTATAAAGAATTAAGTTTTGGGATTGATATATATATATATATATATATATATATATATATATATATGAGTTAAATAGTGTCTTGAGGCGTGTTGATGTTTTTTGGTCCTATTATTTGTTGAGATTTTGGATTCCTAAACATGATGTAAAAAAAAGGGTCATGTTGCCTTTTGTGAACTAGATGTTGGTAAAATAAAAACTGCAAAACCACACTGTTAGCACTGACAAGAAAGATAAACAATAATGTAAATGGAACAGATTCGTAAACCGTGTCGTGGTAGAACCACTGCCTTAGAAACGAATTCGCCCTTGATGTGTGTAATCTCTACAGTAGGTGGACCGCCCCCCGAGGTTAACACGGTCGCTCCGAATTTCGTACACCCAAAATCGGAGTGGACTGTTGGTGGTATTGCACTTTGGGAAATTCAAACCTTAAATACCCATTCCCAATAGTGTTTCTAATACTATGTGGGATTGAGTATTACCAACACTAGATTATCGTAAACTACAGGGAAATTACCCGTGCACTGTTCTTGGGTGAACCTCTGTATTTTATTGGTACCTGAAGGTTCAGTAAATGATGCTACATTTTGTAATCCTATGTAAGGAATTTAGTTTTTGGATTGATATGATATGATTTCAATTGTTTCTTGAGATATTTTTAATGTTGTGTGGTTCAATTTTATGTTTTAGTACTCTGCTCTTTTTGTTATTTGTTGCCAATTTTGTGCTGTTCATGTTTCCTGGTGCTCATCAATTTGTAATGGTTCTGTAGAACACAAGGGAGACAGCTTTTGCCCTCAGAAAGTTGCCTTTGGGTAAGGCCAAGAGGTATTTGGAGGATGTTATGGCCCACAAGCAAGCCATACCATTCCGACGCTTTTGTGGTGGTGTTGGTCGAACTGCTCAGGCAAAGAACCGTCATTCCAACGGATAAGGTCGCTGGCCTGTAAATTCTGCCAACTTCATCCTAGATTTGCTGAAGAATGCAGAGACTAATGCCGAGGTATATATGCCTAGTCCCTTGGTTTCGAGTATCTGTCAACTCATTTCTTTGCAGGTCTAACAACTTGATGCCAATTTCTCAGGTCAAGGGTTTGGACGTAGATGCCCTCTATATTTCTCACATCCAAGTAAACCAGGCTCAGAAACAAAGGCGTCGTACTTACCGTGCACATGGAAGAATCAACCGTACGCATTAAAACCATGCACGTATTGTTGTATATGGATTGTTCTAATAGTTCTCCCGTGTTAATTGGAATCTGTTCTCATTTTGCCAGCTTACATGTCTTCTCCTTGCCACATTGAGTTAATTTTGTCTGAGAAGGAAGAGCCTGTCAAGAAAGAGGTAACTACTTTAAATTTTTACATGAACCCTCATTATTTTTAATTTTTCTTGAAGTATCCATATCCGACCTATTAATAGAATTCGTGTGTACGATACTCCGAATTCTCCAATTATATAAAAGAAATAGTAGCTGTTTTCTGTATATTTTGTTGATAGTAATCTTTTGTGTTCAGCCTGAGACTCAATTGGCAGCTAGCAAATCCAAGAAGTCCACTCCCAAGCCTAGGTGCTTCCTATTCAGCAATGCTATGAAGGAATGGTTTCTCACCTTTTTTTTCCCCTTATATTTTGAATTTTTGCAACATAGAATTGAGTTTATTTTCTTTTGGTCCTCGAACCATGTTTAGTTGAATGTTATCCGAGGTTATCATTTTTAATACTAAATCATTAATTATTAAGTTAGTTAAATAAACACCCAACTAATTATATATGCTCATTAATAAATGAAAAATGACAGAACGGTTTAATGTTTCTTTTTTTCTTAAAAAAAAATCTAATTCAGGTAATCTTAATGAAGAATATTGCTGGGATATTTGAAATGAAATTGAAATGATGCAACATTAACTATGATCTAACTTAAAATTGGTATTATTGGGGTAATATTTATTTGAATAATTCGTTGATAGTTAATAAAAATGTTTGTATTTTAATCTATTTATATCGTATATAAATATTTATATAAAGTAGTTTTAATATTAAAAAATATTTATTAGGAATTAAATAATTTATAATTTAACTAAATAAACTTAATTAATGATAGTATCACATTGCTGTTTTATAACACAAATAATTTAAATTAGAGTAAACTACGTTTTTAGTATCTAAATTATCCATTTGGTTCATTTTAGTACTTAAACTTTTAGTTCTTTCAAAATGATACATGTACCTATCGTTGAATTTTTGTGTTTCATTTTAATACTCACAATTAAAAACATAACATGTTTAGTATTTAAACTATTAGTTTTGATCTGTTTTAGTACTTAAACTTAAAAAAAATCAAACCTTAGCGTTAAATTTTGAACGGAGTACTAAAATGAAACAAAAATTAATTTTTTTGTATGGTTTTGATAAAAATAAAAGTTTAGGTATTAAAACGGACTAAAATTATAGTTTAGGTACTAAATATGTAATTTACTCTTTAAACTAATTTAAATTAATGACGGTCAACAAAGGTTAACCCATTAGATGCTAATGCAAGTTTTTCATTTATTAGTTATAATTATTATTTGTCATAGAGCATAAAAATTCATAATCATTAATAAATCTTGCAAACTTCTCATGATATCTCACCTTTTATTCCTTGTTTTATAGACTATGACTTAAACCTTAACGTGCCTTAGCTGCCGATGCTGCTTGCTTATGTGTTTAGATATATCCAAGTTTCCTCTTAACATGCTGTGGGCATCTACTGTCCCTAAACGGCAAGTTATCATCTCCTTTCGTCTTCTATCTGTCGTTGCTTTTGGATATGATAAATCTGAAATGAAACCCTATCATGGTAGCATTGCAGAAAATCTAAAGCATATTAAAATAACAATAATAATGGAAAACTCTGTAAAAACCAAATACTATAAGGTATTGCCATCATCTTGTCCCTGTCAACCTGTTAGCTACCCCATTTCCCATATATGTATATATACACGTATAAAACACAGCTTAATCTGAGAATACTGAGACTCGGGCATTAATTGTTCGGTATGGATTGCTGCAAAAGGATAGATGTAGTAGATGGGATAAGAAGTAGGAGCTTTCGCTATGAAGACTACAATAATAGAAAAGCCTTTTTGCGAAGCTATCCTCTTCAATGGGGCAAAGATGAAGATGAAGAAGAAACAGTGACAGCTGCCAAAGGGGATAGTACCGGAAAGAAGCCTATGAAGAAGATGATGCAATGCGCGTATCATTGGAGTAGTGGAAAGGTCGTGATTTTGAGGAGATTCAAGGATAAGCTTACCGTTTATGTCGTTGCTTGTCTCCCGATCTGCTTTAAGTCATCTCTGTTTCACTAATTTCAGTTTGATTCTTCTGTGTTTCTCATCTTTATTCTAAATTCCAGATTTCGCTATCATGCATGGTATAGGTATCCTCTACACCTTGGGGATAACTCAATTAGTTGATATATCCATTCTAAAGTTCAAATCTTGCCATCTGCAATCATTTTCTAAATTCTCAAACTACAGCCTCTTTTATACCAAACTAAAACCTATGCATCCTCTATACGAAAGCTGTTTTTCTAAATAGAAACAATCTGAAATTACAATCAGCAAAGGAATGGGATTCAGTAAGACAGTTGGCACATGAAGAGAAGGAGACAAGTCGGTTTGACAAAATAAACGAAAGGAAACGAATTATGCAATTGCAGTAGTCCATTCAAACAGTGTTAGACGACAATGTGAGCATAATTATAATCAATAAACAACAATCAGCCAAAGAATGCTCAGGTACTTTTGGAATAAGTTTTTATATAGTTTTTTTCCAACAGAGTTAACAAAACTCTTCCATAATTCAAACATTTTGAACATGTTAAATTTCAGCAAGCGGCACATTTGCTCACATGGCAAAGACCAAATCCCTCTTCTGAACAATTAGACGGTGTGCTCCTTGTTCAGAAAAATATTATTGAGACGCCCATTGTGAAGCAACCAACAGCCACCCAGGGACTTAACCGTTCACCTGATTCAAGAAATATACTAGTTAGTCCCACAGATTGCAATGCATTACTAATAAAAGGAACACTTGTTATGCAACTTTACTAATAATGGTCAGGAAATAAATAAATATATTTGTTTTATGGCAAAAATTGTGAGTTATGAACGAGATATTTGGCCAAACATTTACACTAACATGCCCTATTAGATAGATAGCAAAAGAGAACTTTTCTCATAATGGATTTCCAACAATCATTGTTCATTCAACACCGATTGAAGCAGTGAACTCAAAAGTCAATTGCATTTTAGTTGGTATAAACAACATATGAAAATAGATTCAGTTGCTTCGAAATGCCAATTATGGCAATAATGATGGAATGTTGAACTTAGATCATTATTCTTATGTAAAAATAACTGATCTAAAACCCCATTTCAACATATCAACACATTCCAATTCTAACTCGTAACATTATGAGATTTTAAATCCAAAATAAAGAAAAAGTTCTATATGCATAGTTTATTTAAAACCGATAGATCTAAATTTTTGTCATTCATTTTCAGTCTCATTTCCAGCAACATTTTAGATTCACATTATATGTCCAATGAAGATTCACAAGGGGGATAATGTAGGCCTGAGTATTCCAACTTTTCAAAGAGACCAGAAAGAAGCAAATCAAGCAGTTTAAGAAGACCCACCTATTCTGGCCGCCTTCCAAAAGAAACCACGGAACCTGCCATACAAACATATTATACCATATTAGCTCCATTTCTTGCTTCCTAAAAATTAATTGTGATGACAAAGTAGAACCTATAGATGCTAGGCATACAAGCAATACCATAACCAATATGGATACTGGAGAGGAAAAAAAAAAGAGGACCAAGATTAACTAAAGTCATGCAACTTTAATTTATCTAAGCTCTTAATAGAGAAAAAATCAAGAGGTTGAGTTATCCAAGGATATCCACAAGATTTATTGAAAAAATAAAAACTAAAAGTTTCTCATGTTAAGATTGAGAACTCTACTTCCAACTTCTCCAATGCTAAAGTTACAACTATATCATTGTGGCCATACTTGTTGCCTTGCCAGTTGCCCCCAAAACAGTCAATTTAATTTGCAAAATTACTTCAAAAGCAATAAATAAGACAAAGTAAAATCGTACATCAAAGCTGAGAGAAGGAAGAATTCCAAAACAGCCTAGTTGATAATCTGTTTTCCCTTATCTCTCTCTCTTTTAGTTTCTTTTGTGCAATGGTTGGTTACAAGTCAAGTTCCTCCACATTCCCCCATCTCAAATATTTTGAGTTCAAATGTAGCTACTCAAAATTACAAAGCTAAAACACCTATAAGAACACCAAGCAACAAAATGTATGGTATAAACACCTAAACCTTGGCTATAGCAGCAATCGCCCCAACATCGCCAGTCTCAAAAGTTTACAGTCCAAAGGTACACATTTCAAATTACAAAGCAAAAACAGCTATAACAACACTATGAAACTAACTACATGATTATGCCAATTCACAAGATCTAGCATTCAGTCGCCAAAATCAGTTTTCAAACACAAATGCACACTGAAATCAACTACAAATATAGTAATGAGACCTATTCAACAATAAATGAATAAAGAAAATTAGAAAAAGAGAGAGAGGGATATACCCAGTTCTCTGTTCAAGGATTGCTGGAAACTGCATCTTCAAGTAAGTGCAGGTGCAGATTCCCAATAGCACTACCGTTAAGAATGAATGGAAATTGAAGAGTGCCGACTGAAACCACACATAATAAATATTCTAACTTCCTACTGATTTCGAAAAATTAAAAGGAGAAGAAAGCGATCTTTAGAAATCGGGAAATTAGAAAGTTAGGGTTTTTCTTACCATGGGCTTGGGATCCTTCTTGGACTGATTGATTTTCCCACTTCAAATGCCCGGCAGGATAAAACGATATGAGCTCTGGATCGAAAATCAAAATAGAATTTGAGTAGTGAGACAAAGGAGGAATAGATTTTCCTGCTAGTGAGATTTGGTTTTTTTTTTCCTTCTTCTTTTAACCACATATTTAATATTTAAACTATAAATTTTACTGTTTTAATATTTAAACTTTTAATTTTATTTTTTTTATTTTAATTATATACTAATAAAATAAAAATAGATCAAATAAATTTCTTTTTTTATAGTTATAGTTGCATAAGTTAAATGCAAACTTCAGCAAATTGATATCATAAATATATCCCTAGCCTAGATGGTTAGGTTCCATGTGTCCTCCAAGGACTCTCAGGTTCGATTTTTGGCAGTCTCCTATAAGGAGATTTTTCCTTTGTTGTATTTTTAATACCGTGGTGACACGTATTAGTTGAATAAAAATAATATAAATAATAATTTAAACACTAAAAAGAAATTAAAAATATCATTTTAAAGTGAAACAAAAATTAAATTTTATATATGATTTTGTAAAAATTAAAATTTTAAGTACTAAAACTATTAAAACTGAAACTTTATGTAATAAATGCAAAAGTTATACTAAAATATTTTGTTATATGAATGTAATGGTTGCAGACATTCAGAGTCATATGTGATGTGTGGAATGAGACTTTTTAATAATGGGTGTGTGAGATGATTGTTCAGAGTATCTATTTAGTTACTGAATGGTCTTAGAAGACTTCGTTTGGTTGAGTTTATTGATTATTAAAAATTATAAAATAGTCATTCAACTATTTATATATTTTAAACTCATGATTTTTTTTTGTTAAAAATTGAAGGTTGATTGAAATATAATAGTTATTTGATATTTTGAGATCATAATTTTTTCACATTCAATTAACATGTTAATATTTAACTTAGACTATCGTTAATTTTTAACATAAAAAAACTAATTTAGAATATATAAATAATCAGATGTCAATTTTATAATTTTTAAATTTTTAACATGTTGACGTGTTTCGGATATGTTTTAAACATCGAATCTCAAAAAATGATATCTATACCTTCAATGACATTTATACTAGTCTAGAGGCATTCATAGCCTAATAACAAGGATCGACACTTAATCCTCGAATTGTAAAATTTTGCTGTTTGGCACTTTTAAATTACATGATTTGCTATCGTATCTTCATAATCTGTAAGTTTTGTAACTTGGTCATTCAATGATTAATTCTTAACTCGTAAAAAGAATGAGAATTGCTAAAAGGTGTGCATTAATTGTGTGAATTACTTCCATGTCGACAAGTTTGACATGTCATGCAAATTAGTCCTTCTATGCCGATTAAGTAATTTATCATGCCATTAAACTTCTGAAATTGATATTCAATACTTTAAGTTATTGCGACTTGCGATTATGCCTTCATGTTTAATATGATTTGAGAATTGGTCCTCTAAAGTATCTATGTGAATACAATGAAACAGAAATTTAAATTAAAACATAATGGATGTAAATACTTTCAAAATGATGCAAGATTTTAGCATGGAGAAAAAAGGGGACAGCCCCCTTTGCAAAAATCAGTAAAATCTTTCAACTTCCTACACGATGGACCATGTTCTTTCCCTTCTTCCCGGACAATAATCATGTGTTCTTAATTATGTCCCAATTCTTTCAAGATTCTCGGAAACAGTTTTCATCCTAGGTCGAATCTCAGGGTCTGCTTCGGTGCACGCCAGAGCAACGTGAAAAACAGCCAGCACTTCTTTCTTGGCATGCACTTCTTGTAATAGCATGGGATCAACCATGTCCGACAACAACTTTTCTTCTTCGAAACCTTTCTTCACCCACCTTACGAGGTCCGGGACTTCGATGGAAGTCGAGGTAGTCGGTGATAGATCCGGAGGCTTCCCGGTTAACATCTCAAGTAAGACCACTCCGAACGAATAGACGTCCCATTTTTGAGCCGCTCGGTTGCCGGGGACTCGAGCTTCCGGCGCTCGATAACTGTTGGTCCGTTCCGTCTGGATCGATTTGTAAGGGAGTCCACCAATGAAGCCTCCGGATGAAGAATCGGAGTTGTTTCCAGCGATGGAAATGAGCCTGTTGAGGCCAAAATCGGAGACGTAAGGCTGGAATTCGTTGTCTAGGAGGATGTTCGACGGCTTGACGTCTCCATGAACAAATTTTCTAGGACTGCATTCATGGAGATAGGCCAAACCACGGGCTGCTCCCTTTGCAATTTTTAGCCTTATTGACCATGAGAGACTCGTTGATGGTTGACCATTTCTGCCTGTAAAAAACAATCTCATTAACCATATAATCAAAAGATATAGTATTCCCCCCCCCAGCTGTCAATGCCCTTTTTTTTATCATATGATGCATGGTGGACCTACCATTTGGTAGTATTCATTTAAATCCTATTGAACCAACCAACTCCATAACCTACCCCCACAACATTAATAATTTGTATACATATCGTTCTCTTATAATTCTTTAAATACATGAATTTTTAATAATATACACACGTAAGCGTTAAATATATACAGTTACATTTAAATTCAATCCGATTGAAATTGATTAAAAAATATAAAAAAATTAGTTTGATTACAAGTACGAAATATATTATATTTTATGTTGCTTAGAGTAGATGTCAAATTATTCATGAGAATTTCTCTTGAGAAATATATATTTTTTCTTTGTAATTTTTTTAAAAGAAATTTTCACATAAAATATTGATATTTATTTTATTATGCGATCATTATACATGTCATTATTTTTAACGTTTAAACTCAAGTTCGATAACAATGATGTAGTGAGAAATTTGTATATGAATAAATACTCAACTATTGACTTTAGGGTCGATTCTCATTCTCCTAGGGTATTTTTACAAAGGCAAGGTATTGCATTTGCATAAACAGCTCTTACCACGAAAGGGACTGCACTGCCGAGACCTAACGAGTCCTCGCGGGTGCGTAAACTACAGTCAATAAGGGGTCGGCCACTTTGGACCACTTCACTTCTTAATCATCATATGATAGCCATTTAGCTTAAAAAAGGCCACTTATTAAGGATGAATTGCGGACGAAAGATGATAATTTATGAAAATTTAAATTTTTATATAATTTAAATATTTTTTTATTGATATTATATTTCCATATATTGAAATTTAATAAATTCATCTACAATTATATGTTCGTCCTCTAATAAAAAAATCTTAGGCTTGTCTGTAATTTAAGTTTTGTTAGCAAAATAAAGACGTTTAATATAAAAAAATGAACCTCACTTGAGCTCATCTCAAAATTTACTGTTCGAAATTTGGTTAGACTTCGAATCGAGTATTTGAAGTAAAATCAAATTATTCAAACTCAAATTGATTAAACTTATATAGGAGAAAGGAGGAAGAGGAGGAAGAAGAAGCTCAATCTGATTACACTTATACAGGAAACATAAAGAAGAAGAAGAAGAAGAAGCTAACCTTTCATGGCATTAGCCAAGTTGCCATTGGAGATGAAATCACTAATGAGAAGCTTTTCGTCAGGAGCCCAATAGTAAGCTCTCAACTTCACAACATTCGGATGCTTCACTTTCCCGATCGCCTGAACTTCCGCCACAAACTCCTTATACCTCTTCTCTCCACCTTCGCCGCCCAATCGCCGAACAGCCACCGGAATCCCATTTCCGAGCATCACTTTGTAAACTATCCCAAGCCCACTCTTACCCAACACATAAGCCGACGCTCTAAGCAACTCGTCCAACTCGAAACTAAATCCTTTATCAATGGCCACCAACTCACCTTCCGCTTTTCCGGCTTTATCCCCTTTCTCGTTGTCTTCGAATTCCGAGTCATCGTTTCGAAACCCATTGATGCACTGAAATGAACAAACGGAACAGAGTCTCCCTTTGCCGTTATCGCCGAACTTGGCTTTCCCAGTGCAACTACAGCCGTTTGAAGAATCTTTGTTTTTCCAGTAAATATAAACAATAACCAATCCGATCAACGCCACACCAGCGGCATCAGCCGCCGATATTAATATGATTAAGGCGGGAGTGAGCCCTTTCTTCTGGGTTTCACCGGAATTGGGACCCGAATTTTGAGTCCCTGGAGAACTTGTGCCGGAATTTTTGCAGGTTTTTTGAAGAGGAAACCCGCATAAAAGAGGATTGCTTAGAAATGCTGTTGGTCCTTGATTTGCAAACGATCCCGTTTCGGGTATTTCCCCGCTTAAATTGTTGTGCCGGAGATCGAAACTGACGGTTACCGGTAAGTCGCCCAAGCTTTTCGGGAGATTACCGGATAAGTGATTGTAGGATAAATTGAGAGTTCCCGACAATGAGTTTAGTTCTCCGACGGTACTAGGGATCGGTCCGTTGAATTCGTTCGACGAAAGGTCGAGCTGAATCAAGTTGTCCAACTCCGGCCAAATTCCGACGGGAATTTTGCCGGAGAATTTGTTTTGAGCCAAAATCAACCTCTGCAGCTGCTTGCAGTTCTTGAGATTCTCAGGCAAAGAGCCCGACAGCGAATTGTTGGAGAGGTCGAGGTTTTGCAACTTCGGAAGCTTGCAGATCGAAGGAGGCAGCGGACCGGACAGATTGTTACCATACAGGAACATGCTGTGAAGTGATGTGGCGTTGAACAGTTGGTCCGGTATGGAACCGTAGAAGTCGTTGTTGTGAAGATTTAACCTTCTGAGATAGATTAAATTCCCAAGCTCCGACGGAATATACCCTCGGAGATTCTTCCCGGAAACGGCAATTCCTACGACACGTGGGTCAGAAGACCCTGATACGTTCTTGCAGGAAATGCCGGACCAATTACAGGGCGTGGCATCGTCCTCGTTCCAGTCGGCGAAGGAGGACTGGCCCGAAGATTGGTCGACGGCGGATTTCAATGAGAGAAGGGAGAGGCCGTCGGGGGAAAGGGAAAAGGCCGGTTTCAGGCTTCGGAGGAGGAAGACGAAGATGAGTGGAAGGAGGGGCAACTTCTTCATGATCAATAAAAGAGTGTATCTTTCTCTTCTCTTCTCTTCTCTTCTCTTCCTTTCTATGTGAATTAAAAATGTGGGCTTTAAAGACACTAGGCAAGAGTTTAATAGTCCATGCTAATTGCTCAAATAATGACCTACCATTTTAGTTGTTCATGCAAGGATCTAACCTTCTAAAATTGTATAATAAGGGTCTAACATATATGGATTTGTTTAAATAAGGGTTTGATATTTAAAAGAATGTCAAATAAGGGTCTAACATTTATCAATTCGCTCAAATAAAGATTTATTTACTTTTTAATTTGTTCAATGAGGTTATTATTTGAAAATATTGTCAAAATGTTAGATCCTTATTTTAGTGAATTAAAAATTGTTAGACTTTTATTCAATCTTTTTAAAACGTGAGCTCCTTATTTGAACATATATAAAAAGATTAACCCTTTATTTTACCGTTACAGAATATTAGGCTCTAGCTAAGTATTAGTCCAATGCTATTTTATTTGGTATAAACGATGAAAATAAATGAAGATTGATCTTTTTATAGGATAGATTAATTATAAAATAAAATAATAAATCTTGATCACTTAATCAATATATATTTGGGTAAACTACACATTCAATACTTAAATTATTAGTTTTGATCCGCTTTAATACTTAAACTTTCAAAATTTTCAAAACCATACCTAAATGCTTAGTTCTTGTTTCATTTTAGTAGTCACAACGTTAAAAACTTAATGCATTTAGTAGATTTAAATTTTATTTTCTTTCCAAAACTTAACGTTAAATTTTGATTGAGGGTTTAAAATGGAATAAAAATTAAACTTTAGTATTATTTTGAAAAAAAAATTAAAGTTTAGGTATTAGAACAGACAAAAACTGATAATTTATATACTAAACGCATAATTTACCCTAGATTTTTCATAGCTATTCCTATCATTTATATTAAACAAAATCACACACATTAATATAATTTAACCCACACATATTATTGTCACCGAATCAATAATTTATCAATGAATGTTTAAATTCCAAATGCGATAAATATTAATTTTAAAAATAATTATATGAAACGATAAGTGATAAATAATAATTTTAAAAATAATTATATGAAACAATAAGTGGATCCAACTTCCCGCCAAAAACAGTGATGCTTAGCTGAGTGTAGAAGAAAAGAAATTAGGAATTTTGGATGCTGATGTTTCGTTTTATGTCATATTATTTGGAATTTTCTTTTTGTAAGTTTGGGAGAACTATGAAAACTCTCCCTTCTTTTCGGAGTTCATTAAATTGTTAAAAATGGTTAAGTCTCCCTTTTGAAACATGGCCACTAAAAAATAATTTTATAATTAATGTTAAATAATATTATGAGTGGCAAATTAGATATGATTTTGTGGTTGACTATATATATTAATAACTAATTAATATGATATATGTATAAATAAAATTTTAAAGCGTGTATCATTAGTAAAATAAATAATTAACATAAAAGAATCGAAGTTCTGTTGACAAGGCACATAAGGACTAAGGGCACATATCCCACATTGAGAATGAAAGTGGGATTGAGTCCCACGGTGGGCAATTCATAATTCGGAGGTCTCCCACGGAAGTTGCTCTCAACCTGGTGTTGGAGGCAGCCTACTACCATACATCCCCTTACCCCATTACATATGATAATAAGAGTCAACTTATTTTTCTTTCTCGTCTTTAATGAATGTGATGAAACAACTCTCTTGTTTGTGCATGTCACTATTGTCACCGTTGAAAAATATTCACCTTACCTTTTGTGATGTTGAGTTGTTGTAAAAGCTCTTAATTATTTCGTAATCCAATTTTGGGTGACTTATGTTGAGATAAACTTGATGAAACAACATACGTAAGTGAGAAAGACCAGTCACCTTCTATGATAAATATTGAGCCCTTTTTTTAGTATACTTATTAGAATTATGAGGAAATAAGGTTATATGTATATATATTTTGTAGACACATCGCAGACTTAGATGAATAAAGGAGTTAGTTGTGTGTGTTATGAGTTCACTCTAATCTTAGAAAAATTAAAATTTGTTCACTTATCTAAGAGAATAATTATTCATCATTACTATGTATTAGTTCTAGATATATTCACTGGTGCTTAAGCAACTAATCTCATTATTGATCTTCTCATGTTTTAAATTCAAATTCTTTCTCTTTTCAAAAGAATTCTTTCGTATGTTATAGGAGAATGTCGGTAGTGCACAAAGGGACTAAGGACACATATTCCACGTTGAGAAGGACAATGCCTTTGGAAAAGTATTTAAAGGGGAACTATTTCCTTTCTTTTGTGAATATGGTGAAATAACTCCCTTGCACATGCGCTTTGTCGTTACTGTTGTTTCATGGCCATGGTAATACATGTCCTCGGTACATCCGTGCACATTCTATCTTTTTAAAAAAAATACAAAAGAATTTATTTGAAATTATTTTTTTGTAAAACTTAAATGATGTTTTTTATATCATATTTATAAGTAAAGGAAACCTTTAAATTGGTAAGATTTTTGCTAGAATTATATGTTAATTTCTGAAATTATTTGCTGATTGATATAAATATGGAGTTAATCTACTATGATATAACAACTGTAACAGCTGTTAACATTTGAGGATTTAATGTTAATTTTCTACATAATTAACCTAAACGATTTTGGGGTTAGGATCAAATCTTCAATGCAACAAACAACAACTTAATTATTGATTTTATCAATTAATTAACAAGGTCTAATTATAGCCAGTTGACTTACTGATTAATAGCTATTATGTTGGGATTTTCGATGAAGCTCAATGATCAATCGAATAGTTTGTCAAGAAGGGTTGAAGTGGATTTGAGAAAAAATTTAGGGATCAAGGAGATTAAAGGATGAGAAAATTGATGCATAAAGATTTATAGTGTTCAACTTTTTCAACCAAAGTCTACATCCACTACCTTAGTTCCTCACCAAGGATTTTCTAACAAATTCACTAATTTGTTCTTTCTTTTTCAAGGACAAAGAGATAACCTTTACAAATCTCTATCTTTTCAATGGCAAAGATAGAACTACTCCCCTTTTCACAACGAATAAAATGTGTAAACAAGAAAACCTCAAAAGGTATGACTTTACAAAATTAAGCTCACTAAAACAATAATATTTACAAAAGAAAATAAAATAAGAGTAAAAAGTTCTTCTCTTGTATTTGATTTATTGGATAGGTGTTCTAACCCTTCTTCAAGTGTTCTCAACTTGTTTTTATATGTTGGAACGAGTTTGTGACTTTTTTAGCTGTTGGGATGATTTGGAGCCGTTGGGGATTAATTTTCTGCAAAATAAAATTATCTAGAACAAGGAGTATCGATACTCCTTTAATGAGTATCGGTACTAGCTTTGTAATTTTTAAATAAACTAGTTATTACTATTTGTTGGACTTGACTAGTATCGATACTATGCTTTATGGTATCGATACTACTGTGTAAAGTAGCATCATTATCCCTTTGAGTATCGGTGCCTATTTTACATTATGAAATTTGAGCTGTTTGAAAAACACCTGGTAGTATTGATGCTACATAGATAGTATCGATGCTACCTAGAGAGTATCGATACTTCTCTTACCTTTAGTATCGATACGACATGAACAATATTTGTATTGTTCATACATTATCGATACTGTAAGAACAGTGTTTGTACTAAGTACCCAGAAAAACAATTTTGTGCTCAAATTATATTTTAATGAACTTTGAATTATTTTTGAAAATATTTGAAAACTTTAAACAAATTCAATCATGTCCAAAAAATATTTTACCTTAATTTATTATATCAAAATACTGTAAAACATAGTTCAACATATTATAACAACTATATTATTGGACGAATTTGGATAAGTTTGGGGCCAAAAACAAATTAATTATAATTGATATTTTTTGAAATTAAAATCTAAATTTATTATATATTTTTGTGGACCAATTTAACCCAAATGTCCGGACAAGTTTGGGGTAAATTCAACCAACCAACAACAAATTAATTACAATTGTTATTTTCTGAAATTAAAATCTAAATTTTTTATATATTTTTGTGGACGAATTTAACTCTAATGTCCATCCTATAAATAGAAGACCGTTTTCACTTTTCAAATTATCCCAACGAAATGCACTTTGCTCACAAATAAACTCTTTCCTCTTATTTCAAGTTTTCAAAAGGTTTCAAGTTCTTTTTGATGTTAAAGAAAAGTAATACAATCGACAGTCCATTCTAATTTTCAGATGTATGAATCCTTGAAGAAACCATACTAATTTTGGGGATAATTAGATATATCAGCAATTACTTACGTCAAGATAAAGAGAAACCATGAACCTGCCACTGAATATTAAGTATTCAATTATATACTTTTAAATTTTAATTTAAAACAACACTTTACATTATTTTTATACATTGAAAGTTTATGAAATATAATCATTTCTTAAATAATTTTAAATCGTTCTCGGTCATAAATGTACCTGAATGAACTCAAAGCTTCGTTTAAGAATGTTTCTCCAAACGATTTTTTTAACGTAAATGTATAATTTTTCTATCATTTTGGTTTGAGTTAATAATCACGTTTCAAACGTGAATTTTTAACTGAAAATAAATTATTTAAAAATACTTCTACGTTTTAAACGAAATTTTAGGCCAAAAACACTTCAACCAAAATTCGTGAACGACCCTTAGGAAGAATGATACTTTTTATACCACTAAGAATTAATAAATTTTACTTGTGAGAAGGGGTCCTACGACAGGGCAGTAAGATACAATCCCCATAACTTATCACCAACTTTAAAGACTGCTTTTGACCTCTCAGATCAATAAAGAAGCCTTCAACTACCGATTTGTTAGAGACTTAAAAGCAGGTATTTTGGTTAATAGATATTCAACGCATCTATCCTTTTATCCACTAAATTTTAGCTTAGTTGATATTTTATAAAAAAAAAAGTATAGATTTAAATATTTTAAATATAATTATTATTATTTTAAAATTTAAATATTTTAAATATGATATTAAGATAATCTGTTAATAATAGATAACTTTTAA